GGCACATTTATCTGTGCTGTTGTTCTAGGGATCTTCTTCTACCATCGTGGAACACCTATAGTACGGGCCAACAATTCAGAACTCAGTTTTCAATTATTGTTGTCACTAAAACTGTGCTTCCTGTGTTCCCTGCTGTTTATTGGACAACCTAGATTGTGGACATGTCAGCTGAGACATGCAGCATTTGGGATTAGCTTTGTACTCTGTGTCTCATGCATCCTGGTTAAAACCATGGTGGTTCTGGCTGTTTTTAAAGCCTCCAAGCCAGGAGGTGGAGCCAGTCTCAAGTGGTTTGGTGTTTCCCAGCAGAGAGGAACAGTTTTTGTTCTGACCTCTGTTCAGGCAGCAATCTGCACTGCTTGGCTTGTCACCCACTCACCATCTCCACATAAAAATACTCAGTACCACAACGACAAGATTGTTTATGAATGTGTTGTTGGCTCAACTATTGGTTTTTCAGTGTTACTTGGTTATATTGGGTTACTGGCCACCCTCAGTTTTCTGATAGCATTTCTGGCAAGGAATCTTCCTGACAACTTCAATGAAGCCAAATTCATCACTTTCAGCATGTTAATTTTTTGTGCAGTGTGGGTGACCTTCATACCTGCTTATATCAGCTCACCAGGTAAGCATGCAGATGCAGTAGAGGTGTTTGCAATCCTTGCCTCTAGTTTTGGCCTTTTGACGGCCCTTTTTGGACCCAAATGTTACATAATTTTGCTGAGACCAGAAAGAAATACAAAGAAAGCTATTATGGGGCGAAGTAACACTGGTACAACTGAAAGCTAAAAAGTGCTGGACAAGTGAACTGCATAGAAACTCTACACAAATTTTATTCCTTTAGAATTTTAAAACTATTGACATATGTTTGTTAAACTATCTAAAATAGAAAAACCTGAACTTCATCTTAAATGCATCGTGAATGGTTTTCTAAAACACAAATCTTGAAATGAAGCTTAAGAAAGCTTAAGAGAAAATTAAATCTATCAGCTTCACCTAAACCACCTGTGATGTCCCTCTTCAAGCTTAAGCCAATCATCTCTTGGCCACACCCCCTCTGAAGCAAGTCATGTTTAAGATTCCCTTCATTTAGCTCCTGGCATCTCTCTCCCACATGTAAACTTTATCCCACCTCCACCCCATCTCCTCCCTCACTCTCAGACTATTCTTAATCCCACTCACCCTCTGGTTTATTCAACCACAAACAACTTTTCCTGGGTTACTT